GTCTGGGCCTATTGCTTTTTTTTATGCTTCATCTTCTTCAAAGCTACAACCACTTCTTCCTTCCGGATTCGACGATAAAAAGAGTAGTTTCTACACTCTTCTGAGTTACTCAACTCCCCTAAAGAAGCACTCATTTCATGTCCTTCATTGAAAAGATTATGAAAATAACCTCTCCATCTGTCTTTAACCGCGTTCTCTGTAGCAAGAACCTTTCCATCCTCATCCTTGATGCACCTCACTTGGTTTAGGTCCCTTGTCTTCTTTTCCCTTGCTCTAGATAGTTTATAGATATCCAACTCTCCTTCTTTGGTATCTAGTCGTTTATACATATCGTCGTAAGCCACTAACTTAGCTTCTCTGACAGCTTTCTTCGCCTCTTGCTTCGCTTTTCTATACTTTTCACCATTTTCATCGGTCCTCTCCTTGTATAAGGCTTTACAGCATTCCTTCTTAGCCTTCACCTTTGTTTGTACCTCCTCATTCCACCACCAAGATTCCTTTTGGTGTGGGGCAAAGCCCTTGGACTCTCCTAATACCTCTTTTGCTACTTTTCGGATACAACTAGCCATGGAATCCCACATTTGGCTAGCTTCCCCCTCTCTATCCCACACACATTGGGTGATTACCTTCTCTTTGAAAATGACTTGTTTTTCTTCTTTTAGATTCCACCATCTAGTCCTTGGGCACTTCCAAGTCTTGTTCTTTTGTCTTACTCTTTTGATATGTACATCCATCACCAACAAGCGATGTTGATTAGCCACGCTCTCTCCTGGTATAACTTTGCAATCCTTACAAGTTATACGATCCCCTTTCCTCATTAGAAGAAAATCTATTTGTGTTTTTGACGACCCACTCTTGTAGGTGATCACATGTTCTTCTCTCTTCTTAAAGAAGGTGTTGGCTAAGAAGAGATCATATGCCATTGCAAAATCCAAGATAGCTTCCCCATCCTCGTTTCTCTCCCCAAAACCATGGCCACCATGAAAACCTCCATAGTTGCCTGTCTCCCTGCCCACGTGTCCATTTAAATCTCCTCCTATAAATAACTTCTCTGTCTGAGCAATTCCTTGCACCAAGTCTCCAAGATCTTCCCAAAATTTCTCCTTCGAACTCGTATCCAACCCTACTTGAGGTGCGTACGCACTAATCACATTGATAAGTTCTTGTCCTATTACAATCTTGATTGCCATGATTCTATCTCCTACCCTCTTGACATCTACAACATCTTGTACCAAGGTCTTGTCCACGATGATGCCAACACCGTTTCTCGTTCTATTTGTGCCCGAATACCAAAGTTTAAACCCTGAGTTTTCTAGATCCTTTGCCTTACTACCAACCCACTTAGTTTCTTGTAGGCACATAATATTTATCCTTCTCCTCACCATAACTTCCACTACTTCCATAGATTTTCCCGTTAAGGTTCCTATATTCCACGTTCCTAAACGCATTTTGCTCTCTTGAACTCTACCCTTCTGTCCTAGCTTCTTCACCCTCCCCGTCTAATAGGATCAAAGTACTTCTTTTGTGTGTCCCGGGTAAAGTTGATAGGAGCATATGCTCCCAAACAACTTTGAGTGGAGTCGTTCGAAAAGAAGTTTCTATGGCCCCCTTGCTCATTTAACACTGCATCCGGGTGCCGATGGAGATACAGCGACCCTTGCTCACTTATCACTGTGCTCGGGCCACACAGCGCGCCACTTACGGGTGACGCCCTAGCTTTAGCGCGATTTTGTTCTGGATTCATTTTCATAAGGATTCGACGTGATCATGGAGTGCCGGCTGTCGACTACCTGACGCCCTCCCCCTTAACATACTAAAATCTCATTGCGATCCGACGGTCGGATCTCCGCCAATTACTAGAATTAGGTGGCAGTCAACAATTTCCAAAAATTACCAAATTTTACAGGCAAGTATATCTCAGTGAGTAAAGAAATTTTCATACCTGTGGCCAAGTCCAATTCAGCCGGGAAGTGTCTCAATTTTATCCAAACCCGTTGGAGACCCTGGAAATGGGTGTTCCTCATTGTACCAAACAACAGACGGAACATGGATAAGTTAGTCATTTAATCATTTGGTTTCGTTCTGTCCAGCGCATACCAAACGCAGAACAGAACAATCGTCCCGTTCCGTCCTACGTGTACCAAACATAACACGAAACCTCTATTTCGTCTCGTCATGTCCCGTTCCGTTCAATTTGCGTACCAAACGGTACCTAAAATCATAATCTTGGACACTTTCATACATCCGTTAAGGTTGCTGTTAAATCAACCGTTAACTGATGACGTGACATCTACGTGGACAATGACTAAGCACCACCTGGATATTAAAAAAAAATTAAAATTAATAAATTAATAAAAATAAAAATTATTATTATTAAAAAAATTACTTATTTAAAAAAATAAATAATAAATAATAAAAAAAAAACCCCCAAAAGATACACTCTAATCCAATCCTACCATTTCAATCCCCAGCCACACTCTAATCCAATCCCACCATTTCAATCCCCAGCCACACTTCCTGCAATCAATCCTCATCGCCAGCCACCCTCCAATCCAACCTCATCGCCTTCTTCTTCAATCATCGTCACTCTCCCCGCGACCGCGACTACAACTGAATTGCTCCCGACGTAAAACCACTGATCGTGATCATACTTTGACAGCGTGTCACCAGATTCTCGACGAAGAACACCGTGTCGTCGTCTCCTAACATGAACCACCTCACATCCGGCTCGCCGCGATCGACGACCTCTTTGACCATGCGCGCCATGCGGATCGCGGAACAGAGCCCTCTCTTGAAAGTGTATGGAAAATGGGAGCTATCATCGGAGACGACGACCAGAGCGACAGACTTCTAGCCGGAGGGGTCGATTGGTACGGGATCGAGAAACGCAAAGGCGCGGGTGAAGGCAGGGGAGCACCAGAGGCGGAGGTAGGGCTCGCGATGGGACCAGGAATGGGAGAAGGAGGCGACGGCAAAGACGAGGTGGCGGCGCATGGTAGCGGGAGAGAAGGGTTGGTGGTGTGTGGAGGAAGAGGAAGTAGAAATTGAGGAAAACAGAGAGGAATAACAAAAGGGCTTTGAAGTGGGCGAGGGTTAAGGTTCTGAGCATTACAGATGGGAGGGAGACCGAGAGAGAGAGAGGTATCGGTATCTTTTAGGGTTTTTTTTTATTTTTTATTTATAAATATTTTATTATTATTATTATTTTATTTTTTATTAATTAATTTAATTTTTTTTTTAATATCCACGTGGCGTCCATTCATTGTCCACGTGGGTGCCATGTCATCAGTTAAAAATTGATTTAACAACAACCTTAACGGATGTATGAAAGTGTCCCAAAATTATGACTTTAGGTACCACTCTAGGATGAAAAAAAAACTTCATGTACTAAATGTTGAAAACCATGAAACTTCATAGTAGTAAAATGAGTTTAATTCATGTACTAAATGTTGAAAACCATGAAACTTCATCGTAGTAAACTGAGATTAACCTTTTGTTTTCTTTAATTTTTATTTATTAATTTTATTAATTTTTAATTTTTTAATATTACGTGGGCCCATATTGACATGTTGCGCCTAATCATTGTCCACTTGGGCGTCACGTTACCAATTAACAGCTGACTTAACAGCCAACTTAACGGATGTATGAGACTGTCCCAAAATTAAAACTTGAGGTATGATTCTGGGATGAAAAAAAACTTCATGTACCAAATGTTGAAAATCACAAAACTTGAGAGTAGTAAACTGAGATTAACCATTTTTTAAATGTGTTAAATGACCTTGTCAAATACAACAAATTACTTTTGTAGTTGCTCTGTAACTTCACCAATACCAAAGATTGAGATTAAGGGTTAATTGACTGAAAAAATGTAAATTTAAGTGTCAAGATGGTCAAATATTCATTGGTTATGGTAACTGTGGGTACCGGTCCATTTAAATTTCACAGTTACAATTAAATGGTTATGAGTATAACCATTTATCAGTGAAATTTAAATGGACGGTTATGGGTATTAACCACGATTATAAACGGGTACCGGTTTATTTTGATATATATATATATATATATTTTTTTTTTATAAATAAAACCACCTAAGTAGGGGTGGGCATAAAAACGGCCAAACCGGAAAACCGAATCGAACCGTGACACAAAAAACCGTAAAAAACTGCGTTGACCAAAAAAGTCAAAGCCAGAACAAAAACCGAACCAAACCGTTTCAAACGGTTCCGGTTCCGGTTTGAAAATATTAAGAACCGGAGGAACCGGACCGAACCGCTTTTAATATAAATTATTGTTTTATTATTATTTTTATATAAATAAGACATTTTTCCAAGAAGACCATGTGCATAAGCCCAATATTTTTCTTCACTTCTCTTCCCCTCCTTTATTGTTTTATCACTTTTCTCCTCCTACATTATTTTTCTTCATTCTTTTTCAGTATATTATGCATTATGTACATTTTAGTTTTAGTTTAAGATCTACACTTTGGTCTTGATATGAGCCTTTCTATCTTTTGATTTATATTTATATGCACACTTTATATCCTCCGGTCACAAATCTTGTAGATTTAGTAGTGAAAACTCAAATTTACTTGAATTTGTGGTTGAAATATGTGTTTGATATTAGAAGTAGAAAATTAGAAAAAACATATATATAATTTTGGTTAGAACCGTAAACCGGCATGAACCGAACCGGAACCGTCATAGACCGAACCATACGGTTTTAGTAATAAATTTAAGCGAAACCGCACCGAACCGAACCGTTGAAATTTTTCGGTTTCGGTTCCATTTTGAGGATGGAACCGGGCCGAACCAGACTGTGCCCACCCTTACACCTAAGCTTTTGATCAGAATTGATTTTTCACCATCACCACATTAGCCTACATAAGTTTTATTTTTATTTTTATTTTTTATTTATTTATCAGAATTGGTGATGATTTGTCACAAGTATCACCATAAATTGCATTAGAGTCATTAGAGTCATATATAGATATGGACCCCTCCCTCCCTTCCTTTCACCGCCACCCCCACTTCCACCTTATCTCTTACATTTCTTGCCTCTCTCTCTCTCTCTCTCTCTCTCTCTCTCTCTCTATAGCTAGTTTAATGGCTGCAACTGATCTAATGGTTAAGGTTAACTCGTCACAAGTTTGCCGCGATCATCCACCACCCAAACTGACCACCATAAAAAAGCTTATTGCGGAATCACAAGACACCAACGGCAACTTCATTGTTCCTCCCACTTATACCTACACAAACAATAATAATCCCCACGATGATCAGAAAGCTTTCGAAGAAGATACAGAAGCAGCAACCATTCCGACCGTTGACTTCTCTCTTCTCACAACATCTGCTACTCCTGAACAGCGCTCTAAAGCCATCAACGACCTCGGCAAAGCCTGCCAGGACTGGGGCTTCTTCATGGTACCTACACCCTCCACCCTCCACCCTACACATATATCATTCGTATAAGCGGAGAAAAATACTATTGGACTATAGTCCTCAAAAGAAAAAAGAGAAAACGTCCAATTTCATAGCCAATATTAGTAATAGATCGGCCAGTTTATTAAAATAAGTTCAATTCTTAAATTTAAGATTATTTTATTATCAATAATTATCTCTTTAATTAGTTTACTTAATTTTTTTTTAGGGTATGCTATCCACACACCTTTTTTTACTTCTCATACACCTCTTGTTAATTTCTGTCCGTTAATCTTCTTCAATTCATCCGATCTGATGGTCGAAAACCAAAAAGGTGTGGGAGAAGTAAAAATAGGTGTGTGGATATCACACCCTTTTTTTTTTTACTTCTTGCTCCTCTTCATGCTCTAAACCCTGTATATTTATAGATTTTATTTTATTTTTATAAAGAGCCTATATAATAGGTTGATTGTATTTATCTACTTATATTACTTCTTTTTTTATAGTCAACATGTATTACAGGTTAATGTGTTTTGCTAGTAGGTATATTATGATTTTGTACTTTTAGTTAGGCTTCATATCTTGCTCGCTCATAAGTATATTATATTTTGTTGATTGATTAGAGTTAGGGTCATATATTCTACATATGATGAATTTGTGCTAGTATATTAGTTTTTTATTAGAAGATATTAAGTAGATTATTGAAATTACAAGATGCATGAAATTAAAAGATTTTGATTTATCTCTAATACTTTAAAGAAATATAAAATAAGTATAAAAGAAATACCTAATACTGGACTTAATTTAAATCTTCGATTTTTTTACTCAAATCTAAATGCCTCAAGAAAGAAAAGGGCAATTATTGGTTTTGTATTTTTATATATTTTCATTTTCCACTGGTAGGTGATCAATCATGGTGTGCCAGAGAGTCTGATGAAGGTAATCTTGGATGGTTGTGAAGGCTTTTTTGATCTGACGGAGGAGGAGAAGCAGGAGTTTGAAGGGAAGCATGTGTTGGACCCCATCAGATGCGGGACCAGCTTCAATACCTCCGTGGAGAATGTTCGGTTTTGGAGGGATTTTCTCAAGGTTTTTGTATATCCTGAGTTTCACTTCCCCTCTAAACCTGCTGGCTTCAGGTTAGTCATCGACCACCATTCTTGATAATGAATACATGATTTAATTAAATATATGTTATCAACCTTGTTAAATCATGGTCTTGTTGGGTAGGGTATGTTGGATCATGATGATTTAATTATGTTATTATCTTGTGGTCTTTTAGAAGTTAATCAAGTAATTAAGTTCCAAAAGTTGAATTACTTGGCAGTGGCACAGATGAACATATTTTAAAACCAAGTTGAATTCCAATTATGAAGCTTTAATTTAAAGAGATGTGGGTTAACACATGATCATAATAAGCATTAAAAAGAATCCTAAATCATTAAGAGATGTGGTTTATGTTAGTTAGTCTGAGCAATGTAATTGTCTCCTTACGCATGAGTTCGAATCTCATATGGTAAATTAGGGTAGTACACAAAACGCGTTCACCCTGCCTTTTTGTTGGTGCAGTGAGCTTGCATCAGAGTATTGCAAAAGAACAAGAGAAGTGACAAGGGAGCTACTGAAAGGAATATCAGAAAGCCTGGGGTTGGAGGCCACAGACATAGACAAGGCCTTGGATGTGGAATCAGCTGGCTTGCAAATCTTCATTGCAAACCTGTATCCTCCTTGTCCACAGCCTGAACTTGCAATGGGGATGCCTCCTCATTCTGATCATGGCCTCTTGACCCTTCTCATGCAGAATGGGATCAGTGGCCTTCAAGTGCAACACAAGGGTAAATGGGTCAACGTCAATGCTGCACCCTACTCCTTCCTTGTCAACACTGGCGATCACCTTGAGGTAAATATTCCTATTCAATTTCACTTCGTCACTTGGTATTACTGTTTAATGGCATTAACCCTAGAGATATTTGGGGTTTTCTTTATCGATCATTGGCAATCACAAACGTTAATTTCCATTTTGCTACATGTACGTACGTATGTCGTAGATATTTAGCAATGGAAAGTACAGGAGCAACATTCACAGGGCAGTGTTGAACAACAAATCAACAAGAATATCGGTAGCCACTCCGACTGGCCCATCACTTGAAACAGTAGTTACACCTACACCAAAGTTGGTAGACACTGCAAAGCATCCGGCAGCAGCATATATTGGCATGAAGTACAAGGACTACTTGGAGCTTCAACAAGGCAGCGTACTTGATGGGAAAGTCATCTTGGATCGTGTACGTGCGGGGGTTTCAAACTCTGAATAGAAGATCTTGTTGGAGAACAATTCAGAAATAAACAGAATAACAGAAATAAACAGAACTTGAAATTCACAATTTTATTTCACAAAAGGTACTTGCTATACAGAATGAAAAGTATACAATAAATACAGAAATTAATCAACGGTACTAACTTGATTACAGAAGGTAGAGGCTAGCGTAAAAGTTATGTCCTTCGAACAGTAATTCCGTCCCACTCTTGTGCTTGTGGTTCTATAACGTCTGCTCGATCAGGATACAACTACCTAATCCTATAACCCGCACTGGATTATAGAATTCTAGCGAATTGCTTTGTGTGTTTACTCTATCTGGAAAGTTTGTACGGAAGAAAAGGAAGAAGAAAAGATGATTCATTTGGATACCATAGATTGCAGATATATAGGTTGTTTCACACCCTTTCAAATACCAGTTCAGTATATTTGAAGGTTCACACTCTTTTCTAAGAGCTGTGTCTTTTAATCAAAACGTTTTTAATTAATAATAAATTAATTAAAAACTTAATCCGAAAATTAAAATTAATGAATCAGATTAATTTTAAATTCCAAGGCCCAAGGCCCTTGTCTTGATTAATTAATATTAATTGTATTTAGGCTATATTATACAAGCTTAATCCACACAACCATAAGGCCCAAGCCTTCAATCCATTTCCAAATGGCCTATATTCTAATTACTAGACTAAAGCACTAAATCTATATAAAGGTCCTTGAGAATCATGTTTTCCCCAATATGATACAAGAGTCTCAAAACTTCCAACAGAACTAACCAGAAAAACACCAGGAAGTATCCCATATTCTAGAGTACTGCAGAAAATCCCTTATAGCTCCCTCTGGAGCTTTGGAATTGGGTCTACACTTTTGGTCGTAGCTAGCTGGCTAGCGTAACGACATGGTGTCATGTTTCTGTACACTAATGTGAATAATAATGACACAAAAAATAGTCGTAAATAAGTTCATTGGAGCAATTGCCAAACAATTTCAGCTTATTAATATGTTACGAGTTGAATTACAAATTGCACGAAGTATGAGCAAAGACAAATCACACCTTTCATTAGCAAACAACTAATCCAGTAAATCAAGAACAATGACAAACTATCTATAAACTTCAACCATCACAACTTCAATTTTTGACCACGACCTACCCTTTCATAACATGCCATGTCTGTGGAGCCAAAAATAATTTTGACAAAAGAAGACAAAACTATCCTTGGGGCATACCGGGATTCCTATGCGCAAGCAGTAAGCAATTATCCCTCAACCAAGTCAAAAGTGCCCAAAATAGGTATCAACTTAAAATCTAATTTATTCATATATTTCCTATTTCATTATTTAGCTAATCAATTAGCTAAATAAATATACTTATTCCATATTTCCTAAAACCCTTTTTTAAAACCATAATAATTGACCAATTAAGAGATTAATTGCCTAATTAATCCCATAATTGGCAAACAAATCACCCCAAAATCATGCTAGGGTCCGGCCAATCCCATAAAAAAATAATCCATCTTATTCTCCACCTTTTCCACCATTTTTCCTTTTTAATTACCCTAATTAACTAGCCAATTAATCCCATAAACCACCAAAACATTCATTTTATGTTAATTAGCCAATTAATCATAATAAATTGGCTAATTAAACCTAAATTAAACCCAAAAACTCTAGCTAGGCCGGCCACCTCCTATCCCTATAAATATACTCCCATTCTCACCAAAAAGCCACTTCCAACTCGTGCTAAAATTCTCTAGAATTCTCAAACAATTTTTTCTCTCTAAATTCTAACTTTGGCATCGGAGGTTCTTCGGCCAAAGTGGGCGCGTGAGGCTCTTGGTCTTGACGTAAGATGTTAATTGTTTTGTAGGTGCAATTTTGTCCAAGATCAAGGAGGAAGAAATTTGCATCCACAATGTCCCTTTACTAAGATTACACCACGTATCAGTAAGTCCCATCCCTTATTGGTAGACTCCTCTACTAATTAATTAGAGCTAATTTAGGTCAATTAAAACTTACAATAACTATGTTAATCCTATTACCTATTTAACTAAAGATCAATGAACCTTCTACCTGCATTAATGCATCCAAACCAAACAAGAGTTACATACTAGTGTCATTTACATATGTACAACTAACAACCCATTTCTCTAAATTTTGATATATTATAATAGGTCAAACCAACATGAAACTTTGCATTGTAATTTTTATTTTGCATTACGTGGATTCAAACTCTTCATTGCAAGTTCTATTTAATTTTCTATAGTCAAATTAGTTAAATAGGGTGTTCCATTGTAATAATAAAAAAAATAAAAAAAAGGCATCTCTGGTGTACTCAAACGACAAAGTGTACCTAGTCATAGAACTTCGTCAAATTGTCCGATCGATACAGGTAAAGGTCCTTTACATGCGCACTTTGTCAACTCGTTAAATCACTAAATGTAAAAATGCACACTTTCAGTAAATCATCCTTATCATGGCGGCTACTAAATACAGTTTGCAACAATTTCTGGTCACAATGGCCTTGCTAGGAAAGTACATCTTCTTAGTATTCAAATCATCGATATTTGACACTAGCCCGGTAATCAGAGCAATGTCTTGCTCGGTGAACTTTGTAACAATAACGTAGCTCAGACCAGTGATGTCTACATCCCTATTTGCTACTCGGCACAATACCAGATCATGGACAATTTGACCACTAATTCATCTCACTCAAATACAATAAGTGGCTGAAGCATGTAGTCCAGAATTAAGCTTTCATGATAGTCATTGAACTTCTTGTGTAAGTCAAGTAAGACTCCAATTTCAATATAGGCTCTTCAGGGGTGTGATTACCATTCGACTAGCTATCATGCTTCTCCGTAGTTTAGCATCTTCAGCCATTGTTTTAGATGCAAATTTTGTACATGTTTGATTTGACGAAATTTCACCTACAAGAGAACAAAAATCGTTAGCCTAATTGACGTATACCCTGAAAAAGGGAGATGGTGTACGCCAAAGGTTTGATGCCTAATTAAGTCAGAAAAGTAGTAGACAGAAAATAGAACTTGAGAGATTTCTGAGTAGTAAGTAGCGATTACCGTTTTCTCTGTTTAACCTGACTATTTATAAGGATAAAATTTAGCAAGAAAATGTGAAGGGAAGCTGTGAGCATACTAGGTAGTTCTTGGTGATGCAGGACAATCTCCACAATCAGCTAGCAGTTTTGAAGGTCCCTATTGGTAAGAGTTCAGATGCGTCGGACACGCAAAGGAAGACTCCAGAAAGTTGGCGCCCTACTACCATTGGACCAAGTATGGCCCAATGGAAGTATAGACGGCCCAAAGACCCCATAATATATGTCATTGGCATCCTGAAGAACCCACGGTCCGTTAGTGGCATACCTTTGGGCAAACTACATCTTTTTCTTTTAGGGTAAAATTTTGGTTTACTCACGACGTCAATGGTAAAACCGTCATATTAAGCATATTTTTCACATATCCTTCTCCTACCGAGAAGTTTTCCTCACTCGGGAAATTAAGAGAACACTACCTCAACCTACATGCTCCACTCACAAAGCTTCAACATACAAGCTTCAACAAAAGAAAATTCAAAGAACTTAGCGAAGAAGGCTTTGGTGTATTTAACACAATACGTTGAAATGAAGGAAAGCTTATTTATTGATATCCCCGATAAGTTAAAAATATGTACATATACTTGAGTCAAAATAAACAAACAAGAGGGAGCCTTCACAAAGGTTGCTTAGGAGAAGTCTCAGCAGTCGGTAGAGCCCCAGAAAGAGAAGGCACCGGAGGGGGATCATTCGGAGCCTCAGTACTAGACAGAACCCTAGAAGGAGGAGGCATCAGAGGTTGATCATTTGGAGCTTCATTACGCGGTACAGCCCCAGAAGACGAAGGCAATAAATGCCTTTGGAACAAACCCACAAATCTCTGATGATCAAGTAAAACCTGACCATCAGATTCCTTCATCTGGTCAAGCTTCATCTTCATGTTTGTAGCATAGTCATGTGCGAGCCGGTGCAACTGTTTATTCTCATGCTTGAGCCCTCTAATCTCCTGTTTGAGACTCATCACTTCAGCCGCTAATGATTCAACTTGGCGGGTTCGAGCAAATAGGCGTTGGGCCATATTAGACACAGAACCTGCACACTGAACACTGAGAGCCAGAGAATCCTTAACAGCCAACTCATCAGACCGTTTGGAAAGTAGTCTGTTATCTTTGGGAGTGAGAAGGTTCTTGGCCACTACCGCAGCGGTCATATCATTCTTCATCACGGAATCCCCAACGGTAAGAGGACCAGTAGGGGAGACGAAGGATGGGCACCATATGTTGTCTGGAGAAGGCGGGGCTGCCTCTTCAACAAGGTTCAAGTCAAAACGACGGTCGGAGGGGCCAGACATTTTCAAAGGTGTTGAAGAGAGAAGAGGTCGGACAAATCAAGATCTTAGAAGTGCAATAATGGAGCTTCTACTGGTGGATATTCAAGTGTGCTTTGGAACTTAATGTCAGCCCCTATAAAAATCTGCACTCGACGAAGCTTCAGAAATCGAAGAGGCGCCTGCTCAGAAATCGAAGAGGCGTTTGCTTTCTCAAAAGCTGGGCTGCTCAGAGACCACGGGGGTCGATCTCAGAAATCGAAGAGGCGTTTGCTTTCTCAAAAGCTGGGCTGCTCAAAGACCACGAAGACCGATCTCAGAAATCGAAGAGGCTTGCTTTCTCAAAAGCTGGGCTGCTCAGAGACCACGAGGGCCGATCTCAGAAATCGAAAAGGCACCTACTTTTCCAGCCTTGTCAGCACCTGTCACACGCACACTCAGCTTTGCGGAAATTATGGGCATTCTGTTGAAGATTTCTGGCGAAGTAGAAAGCACATGAATCGTACTGTTCAATCACCCACTTCCCACACGCAACAGTAGCTCATGGGTACCACAGATAACTTTGCCAAAGTTCTCTGACAAAGTTGAGACACGTGAAACTTGCAACTCCCACTACATCGCTCTGACCAAGAAGGGTAAAAGAATAGCAAAGAAACAACACTAACAAAGTTTAGACACATAAATTTTGAAGGTCTAGCTACCATATTATTACCCACAAGGGTAAAGGAACAGTACCACTGCTGGATAATTGGAAAGTCCCGGTGTGTCAACCTCTGTGCTTCGTGGCAAGGTAGACTAGCAAACATGCCCAACCTTTACTCACATTCGAGAAAACACTCCCAACAAGATTGCTTGCTCCAAAATCGAAGAGGCACTGCCCTCCGAATCTCGAGAGCTAGACTCCCAACATGATTATTTTCTCAAAAATCGAAGAGAGGGTAAAGGAACAGTACCACTGCTGGATAATTGAAAAGTCCCTGTGTGTCAACCTCTGTGCTTCGTGGCAAGGTAGACTAGCAAACATGCCCAACCTTTACTCACATTCGAGAAAACACTCCCAACAAGATTGCTTGCTCCAAAATCGAAGAGGCACCGCCCTCCGAATCTCGAGAGCCAGACTCCCAACATGAGTACTTTCTCAAAAATCGAAGAGAGGGTAAAGGAACAGTACTACTTCTGGATAATTGGAAAGTCCCTGTGTGTCAACCTCTGTGCTTCGTGGCAAGGTAGACTAGCAAACATGCCCAACCTTTACTCACATTCGAGAAAACACTCCTAACAAGATTGCTTGCTCCAAAATCGAAGAGGCACCGCCCTCCGAATCTCGAGAGCCAAACTCCCAACATGATTACTTTCTCAAAAATCGAAGAGACACCGCTCTCCGAATCTCCAGAGCCAGACCCTCAGCAAGATTGCTTTCTCAAAAATTGAAGAGGCATCGTTCTCCGAATCTCGAGAGCCAGATCCCCGACAGGATTGCTTGTTCAAAAACCGAAGAGGCACCACTTTCCCAACTTCAAGAGCTGGATCTCCTTGGATAAAGCTTGTCTGTAATCTTCACACGCAACATCAGCTTTCCAGATACCACAGACCACTTTTTCAAAGTGCTCTGACAGAGTTAAAACATGTGAAGCTGGCAGCTCCCACTACCGTGCTATGACCAAGCAGGGTAAAGGAATAGCATTATTACTTGATGTTAGGGAGACTCCTATATATGTCGACCTCTATCCCCAACGGACAGGCAGACCTGCAAAAATGCTCAACCCTTCCTCTTATCTGAGAGGGCACTCCCAACGAAGCCTTTCGAAATATTCAGCTTTCTTTCCCCTCGATAACACCTCTGTAAACAAGCTATACTAGAGTAAGAATATCTCATATCATAAGGGTTAAAAGCAAAAGTATCCCATATCATGCTTTTTCCCTGTCTTTTCCTTTGACCTTGTTCTTACCTGCAAGACAAGGAGAAAGAGAGCAATTAGTCAGCACTTGGAATCAAGCTTCCAGCCAGGAACTGACTGCCTGGAACCCCTTACCTGATTACTTACCTGGCATTGCTCTCGAGTACTCATCTTCAACATCTTATGCTTCCAGGGAAGATACCGCATCTGCCTGAGGAACAGATAGGGCAAGTGAGAATGATACAAGGAAGCATGTGGAGACAAGCGTAACAGCACACGTGCCGATACATCCACTACTTTTGTCAAAAGCAAAAGTATCCCATATCAGCAGGGTCGAACGTACTCTAGATTTGATGGACTTGTTTTTGACCCTCAAATTCTTCAGTCGGCCTTATACTCTGGAGGAAACCAGAAAACCCTCCAGCCCAGTTCAAGAATAAGCCTGTGGAAAATTACTTCTTCAAAAGTAAAAGTATCCCATATCATCTCTTCTCATTTTTCTTCTCTTTATCCTTCATGCTGCCTGCAAGATAGGGAGAATGTGAACAATCAGCCGGAGCTCTGATTGCTTACCTTGTCTGTCACCTTTTCAGCAGATCCCCTAGCTCGGCGACTTGGGGGACTCCCACTACATGGTTTGTATCGCGCTTGACCAAGCCTGAAACTACAAGTAAGCTTCAAGTGAAATTGATACATTACCTTGTGCATCTCCACCAGTTACAGATACCACCCCTGGATGGAGGAAGAGTACTTCCAGAGAAGATGCCACATCTACCTATGAGACAGATAAGGCAAGTCAAGACAATACCACACTCCGGTACTTAGAAGTTTCGTGGTTACGAGATCATTCTCCCACAATATTTCCTAATGTCATTTGTACTAAATCATTCACTTGTACTCACTAAAGGAGAGCTTGAACCTATGTACTTGTGTAAACCCTTCACAATTAATGAGAACTCCTCTATTCCGTGGACGTAGCCAATCTGGGTGAACCACGTACATCTTGTGTTTGCTTTCCTATCTCTATCCATTTATATACTTATCCACACTAATGACCGGAGCAATCTAGCGAAGATCACAAAAAGTGACCGTTTTCGCTACCTAGGATCTATCTTGCAAGAGAACGGAGACTTAGATGGAGATCTCAACCATAGAATACAAGCTGGATGGATGATGTGTAAGAGTGCATCCGGCGTGTTGTGTGACCGTCGTAGGCCACTGAAGCTCAAGGGAAAATTTTATAGGACGGCAATAAGGCCGTGATGTTGTATGGCACAGAATGTTGGGCGGTGAAGCATCAACACGTACACAAAATGGGTGTAGCGGAGATGAGGATGCTTCGTGGGATGTATGGGCACACGAGAAAGGATAAGATTGGGAATGAGGATATCCGAGGTAAAGTAGGAGTAGCAAAAATTGAAGGAAATATGAGAGAAAATCGGTTCCGGTGGTTTGGACATGTGCAAAGAAGGCCTACTGACGCTCCGGTTCGAAAATATGACTACGGGACAGAGGTTCAGGGCCGAAGGGGTAGAGGAAGACCTAGGAAAACTTTGGAAGAGACCCTAGGAAAAGACTTGAGTACTTGGATCTAACGGAGGACATGACAAAAAACCGAGCGCAATGGCGTTCTAGGATTCATATAGCTGACCCCACTTAGTGGGAAAAAGCTTTGTTGTTGTTGTTGTTGTACACTTGTTACTTCCGTAGAACTTAACCAACGATTCCAGGATTGTAAATTTAAAACTTACTATATTTAACCACTATTATGTTGTTGTTACGACTCATCCAAAATTTTTCTGTAGCTTTAATGTAAAATTACCCAAATGCCCTAGAAGGGTGCGGGTTGACTTTTGTTGATTTTATTTGTCATGACATATGACGTATTAATTAGTATATTTGAACAGTAGCCGTCGTTACAAACACGTGGGTACAAATGGGACAAAAATCAGACTTAAAACGAAGTTTTTACGAGACATTGAATTCAATGGCATTTTAGTCATTTTACTCCATTTTCGGAGAATTCTTTGATTTCTAAGGGCTGTAGGTTCCATGGGGGAAAGAATTTTCTTCTTTCTTCCCTTCTCTTTCCCCCATGTTTCTGGAAACCTCTATGCATCTCTCTCTTCCGTGTTCGATAAATCGAGAAAAACGAACGACGACTTCGCTGTTTGACGGCGAGTCACGATCATTGGCTGCCATCATCACCATCCCCACCTCGCCTCGAGTCCAAAGACTCCACCTTTGTTGGAAAATGCAAAGTCGAAGTCTCGGACCGGGAACTTCGACGGTTACAGTGAAAATTGGACTAGTTTCTCGTCATTCAAGGCATATGTGAGACTTCTAAACTCTACCAATAGCTTCATTTGGTTGATTAGGACTAGATTGGTGTAAAAAAATTATAAATTATAGGTGGTTTTGGATACAGATTCGAAGAAGGAAGTTTTCTTGTTTTTCCGGCGAGATTCCAGCCATTTTTCAACCTCCAACTCGGTACGATCTTGTTCCTCTCTTCCCTAACTGCACTTTGATACAAAGTTCATGAATTTTGGTTGAGAATCGAGTGAGAATGAAGTCTGAAAAATTCTTTTCGGCAAGAATTTTCAGAATCTAATAAATTTTTCGGTGGCTCTGCTACTGTGTGGCTGATAGGCACGTATTTATTACATATGTTACCTATTATTTATATTAATTAGCGTTTCATTTAGATTAATTTGGAGTTAATTACTATACTTTTGTAGTTTATAAGTATTAGGATGTGTATTGATAAAAAGTGAAATTTAACACGGTTTTGACACATTCTATACGTTTTAGTCTTCCTAATTACATTGGCTTCATCCGTTTAATTAATCGTTATTTTATGGGGTGTGCTATCCAAATATTTCTTTTTTTACTTCTTACACACTTCTTGTTAATTTTTGTTCTTTGATATTTTTCAATTCATTTGATCCGATGGTCGAAAATTAAAAGGGTATGTAAAAAGTAAAAAAAGATATATGGATATCTCACCCCTATTTTATTTGTAGGTTGAAGACGAATAGGTGGGTTGTTTTTTACTTATTTGGAGCAAGAGCCAATACTTTCAAATGATGGCTTTTGGACTTATTCGAGAAGGATGAATCAAATTCACTTGCCCAAAACCAAATTCCAATCTGTGGCTTTTAAGTGAGTTAGTGCAAAGGACAATTGATATAGAAAAGGAAGGATGAAAAGAATTAAAGAAAGATGGACAAGATGATTACATGAGGCGGTGGAGATATCTTAGGAAAGAATCTCAAATTGATTGGAACTCCTATTTTTTAGCAAAATTGGACTGGAGGCAAAGATATTAAAGGAAGATACGAGCAGTAGAGAGGGACTCGGACTTCTTCTTCTGGCGTGGAACAAGGCATCGGCAGAGTAGCAGTAATTTGGTTTCTTTTATTCAGTTTTATTTTATGCATATTTTTTAGGGAGCTTTAATGAAAAGGGATTGAATTAACTTTTAATTAATGAAAAACCACCCTAAACTATTATTTAATGAAAATGGCTTAAATTTTAATCATAAGGACACAAAACTTTTATCTTAGGCCCTACAAAACTAAAACACACGGGCTCACCAAAAAGCCCAAACCGCATAACAATTAATATTCCAAAATTACCCCTAACGGAGCCTAACCCAGGCCCGTTAACTAAAGTTACTGAAATTCATCATCCCTCCCAACGCCATTAATGTTCACCAAACCCTTACACCGTACTAAAAAAACGAAACCTCCATTGCTGCAAACGTCAAGTTCTCAAAGCGTTTTCAAGTTCGATTCAAGTTTTCAAGCAATAATCTACACATCAAATCCGGAATTTCTCAACCCACAAACTACATTTGAGGACGAAAAACTGAAAACATTCGATCTGTACGTTTGCAGAGTCGAAATCGGACAAACACAGGTACGAACCTATAATTTCTGATATTCTTGATGATTTCTTTCTTTAATTTACTGAATATGTGCATTTGCATGTTTGAGATTCTAAAAAGTGAATTATGTTTCCAGTTCACAGTTCTGATTTGCATCCAGACGAAAACACACAAAAAATTTGCGAAATAAAAGCAACAGAGAAGAAACAGAGGTATGTACCACAAAATTTCTGATATTTTTGGTGATTTTACAGTAATATGTAAGTTTGCATGCTTCGAATAGCAATGTTTCTGCAAAATGGTATATTTTTACTTCACTTTGATAACTGCTCGTTTTCTTATAACCTTTAAATAGTATTTTCTTGCCCTCATATGTTGTTTTCTTTGCTTAAATAACTTAAATATAATCAACATTCTATTCTGGTGGTGTTTTAGTTTAATATATAGTGTTTACAAAATCTGGGATGCATTCACGAACGAGTGTGGTTTTCTACTTCAGTTTGATAAATAGTTCAGTTTGGTAAATGGTTCAGTTTGATAAATAGTTGAGTTTGCTAAATAGTTCAGTTTGATAAATAGTTCAGTTTGTTTTGTAAAAAAATGTGGTTTTCTCGTTCAGTTTGCTAAATAGTTCAGTTTGATTTGTAAAAAAGTGTGGTTTTGTAGTTCACTTTGATAAATAGTTCAGTTTGCTAAATGGTTTAGTTTGATAAATAGTTCAGTTTGTTTTGTAAAAAAAGTGTGATTTTCTACTTCAGTTTAATAAATAGTTCAGTTTGCTTTGGTAATAAATAGTTGTAATAATTAAACTATGTTTATTCTTACAGATGGACGGAACAAAGAAACTAAGAATAAAGACTTTCGCTGTAAAGAGTCCACGTAAGATAGAGAATATAAGACCAGCAACTTCTTATGTTCAATATAGATGCAACGTTTTCGGGTTTGCAAATGCAATGCAATTGTACAGACCAATGCTTCAACAACGCCAAGATGTCATCAATCATTTGGCCGAGACACCATTTTGGAGTCTAATCAAGTTCTACATAGATGATGAAATTGTTGCAACGGACAGAAAAAAGAAGTCTGATATGGATCTGATCAAGATCATACAATGCTATGACTCCAAGCAACAACGGTTCAAATTCGGAGATCATGAGCCAAAAGCAATAACAAGTGAAGACGTCGTTCAAATATTTGGATTGAACAACCAAGGGGTTGAACTACCAAACACAGACAAATCCACAAAGAACATGAAGGACAGCTTTGTCAAAACATACTTTGCAAAGCAAAAAATAGTGAAAAAAAAGGACATTGTTGAAGCATACCAAAAATCAGTCCAAGACAAAACTCCTGAAGGGGCAAAAGCTACTGCTTCAATTATATGTGTGCATCTGCTACAATCACTGTTATTTGCAACATCTGGAACTTACATAGCGTGGAGCTTCATAACAATTTGTGGAGCTTTGGACCAAATCAGCAAATACAACTGGGCAAAAGGAGTGAGGGACTACTTGTTCAAGAGGATTAACAAATCAAAGAAAAAAAGGAAAAATGGAGAAGAATCAGCAATAACAAGCGGATGCACTACCCTTATTTTGGTAAGAAATAAGAACTATATTTAAAAAACATGAATTATTTCTTATAAATTACACAAGAAAGTAATTCAAAGTTCTTATTTCATGCAGTATTGGATTTGTCTTCACACCAATCTGGTGGAGACAATAAGTGGGCTAGAAAACATGATTCCTGTCATTGGAAGATGGGACATAACGAAAATCCACAAAGCAATCAGAGACATTCGAGTTGAAGAAATTGAGGTAAGGAAAAATAATAAAAGTATTTCAATAAACAGTATATTTTTTGCACCTTACAGTTTCATAACATAGTGATCTTTACAGTTTAAAGTTTCAGAAGTGTCATTTATATAAAACAGATCCAGCAATAGTGTCATTTATGCAAACTAGTGTGATTCAATAAATAGTAACAGAAAATAGCGTAAAAAAGAAAAGTGTATTTCAATAAATAGTTCAGTTTGTTTTGATAAAAAAGTGCGGTTTTTTACTTCAGTTTAATAAATAGTTCAGTTTGCTAAGTGGTTCAGTTTGATATATAGTTCTGTTTGTTTTGTAAAAAGAGTGTGTTTTCTAGTTCAGTTTGATAAATAGTTGCGTTTGTTTTGTAAAACAATGTGGTTTTCTAGTTCACTTTGATAAATAGTTCAGTTTGCTTTCATACAAAAGTGTGGTTTTCTAGTTAACTTTGATAAATAGTTCAGTTTGTTTTGGTAAAAAAGTGTGGTTTCTACTTCAGTTTCATAAATAGTTCAGTTTGCTTTGGTAAAAAAGTGTGGTTTTCTAGTTCAGTTTGCTAAATAGTTCAGTTTGATTTGGTAAAAAAGTGTGGTTTTGTAGTTCACTTTGATAAATAGTTCAGTTTGCTAAATGGTTTAGTTTGCTAAATGGTTTAGTTTGATAAATAGTTCAGTTTGGTAAATGGTTCAGTTTGGTAAATGGTTCAGTTTGCTAAATAGTTGAGTTTGCTAAATAGTTCAGTTTGTTTTGTAAAAAAATGTGGTTTTCTAATTCACTTTGATAAATAGTTCAGTTTGTTTTGTAAAAAGAGTGGTTTTCTAGTTCATTTTGATAAATAGTTCAGTTTGCTTTCATACAAAAGTGTGGTTTTCTAGTTAACTTTGATAAATAGTTCAGTTTGTTTTGGTAAAAAAATGTGGTTTCTACTTCAGCTTCATAAATAGTTCAGTTTGCTTTGGTAAAAAAGTGTGGTTTTCTAGTTCAGTTTGCTAAATAGTTCAGTTTTGATTTGGGTAAAAAAGTGTGGTTTTTTTAGTTCACTTTTGATAAATAGTTCAATTTGCTAAATGATTTAGTTTGCTAAATGGTTTAGTTTGATAAATAGTTCAGTTTGGTAAATGGTTCAGTTTGGTAAATGGTTCAGTTTGCTAAATAGTTGAGTTTGCTAAATACTTGAGTTTGCTAAATAGTTCAGTTTGATTTTGGTAAAAAAGTGTGGTTTTGTAGTTCACTTTGATAAATAGTTCAGTTTGCTAAATGGTTTAGTTTGCTAAATGGTTTAGTTTGATAAATAGTTCAGTTTGGTAAATGGTTGAGTTTGGTAAATGGTTCAGTTTGGTAAATGGTTCAGTTTGCTAAATAGTTGAGTTTGCTAAATACTTGAGTTTGCTAAATAGTTCAGTTTGATTTGGTAAAAAAGTGTGGTTTTGTAGTTCACTTTGATAAATAGTTCAGTTTGCTAAATGGTTTAGTTTGCTAAATGGTTTAGTTTGATAAATAGTTCAGTTTGGTAAATGGTTGAGTTTGGTAAATGGTTCAGTTTGGTAAATGGTTCAGTTTGCTAAATAGTTGAGTTTGCTAAATACCTGAGTTTGCTAAATAGTTCAGTTTGATAAATAGTTCAGTTTGTTTTGTAAAAAAGTGTGGTTTTCTAGTTCAGTTTGATAAATAGTTCAGTTTGTTTTGTAAAAAAATGTGGTTTTCTAGTTCACTTTGATAAATAGTTCAGTTTGCTTTCATACAAAAGTGTGGTTTTCTAGTTAACTTTGATAAATAGTTCAGTTTGTTTTGGTAAAAAAGTGCGGTTTTCTACTTCAGTTTAATAAATAGTTCAGTTTGCTAAGTGGTTCAGTTTGATATATAGATCTGTTTGTTTTGTAAAAAGAGTGTGGTTTTCTAGTTCACTTTGATAAATAGTTCAGTTTGCTTTCATACATTAGTGTGGTTTTCTAGTTAACTTTGATAAATAGTTCAGTTTATTTTGGTAAAAAACTGTGGTTTCTACTTCAGTTTCATATTATGTAATTTAACAACTATTTAATGTGTCACTGTGCAGATTGGTGGAGGTATTCCTTGTTCTGAAGAACCAATAAGGGAGCATTCCAACATCAATCAAGAAGAATGTAATGCCATTCCTTATCCTCAACAAAATAATGAGTCTTCCAAGAAAAAGGAAAAGAAGACACCGGGAAGGAAAAGGAAGAGAACTGAAGTTGGAGCTGAAGAAGATCAAAGCATCACCATCAATGAAGCTCAGTTACAGTTTGATCAACTGTACCAAGAAGAATTCATGAAATTTGATGCAAGTTATCAAAAGGACTTCTTCGGGATTGATAATACATTAGGTGTGGAAGATTTTGAAAAGTTTAAAAGATGTGCGAGCATGGATCAAAAGAGGTATCTAGTCCTCAGTCACATGATGATATATGCACTCGACAACCTACACACAAATTCAATTGTAATGAATGAAACAACTGGAGCCCTTAACAGAAACATTGAAAAGCTTCTGCAAGAACGACTTGAGGACAAGCAGAAGATTAGTTTAATGAACACAGAAATGATACAGTTGCAATTAAATAACACAGCAGCTTCTATGAAAGTAAATAAATTTCTGGATGAAATTGGAAGTTTGAAGAAGAAGCTACTGGAAAATCAAGGTGAGGATCCAGATAATGATGATCAAGTTGAAGAGCATACACATGATAAGGATACTGCTACTGAGGATCCAGTTCAAGAGAATGCAACTGAAAATGATGTGGCTATGGAGGATCCAAAACAAAGGCATGCAATTGATCATGGTCCAGATGAAAATGAGGAGGATCAAGCTGAGGAGGATCAAGATCATGAAGGAAAAGACGCTGCCACTGAAAAAGCAACCTCTGGAGATCAACCAGGTGTTCAAATGCAGACTCCAACTATCAAGGATGCTGAAAAGCAAGAAAAAAAAGAGACTGCCAAAAAGAAGACGAGAACACTGGTAAAAAATATTCGAATGAGGGATGATCGTAAACCAAATGTCTATCCACATTATGATTATATCCCCATCCAGAAAAAACAAAAGAAGGCAAAATACATATATGCTGTGAGTGACAGTGAAAGCCCTTCAATTTTGCCGTCAGAAAGCCAACCATTGGATCTAATAATTGAGAAAGGAAAGGAGGAGCCCAAGGTTGAATCACCCTTGAATCCAATTGCTAAAGAAATAGCAAACAAACCTGCAAAGAAGGATGCAAAGAAACCTGTAAAGCGAAAGCTTGACAAACGGTATCATCTACCTGCATCAACAAGGGCGTACAAGTTACTTGCAGATGAGACAAAAGAAAAATTCAAGGAATATTACAGACAAGAGAAAAATGTAAGTTTACATTATTAATCATAACTTAATACATGTGTACACACACACACACACATATATACATAGATATATAATACGTTTTATTTTTCTGATACAGGGACTACTTCTGGATGCAGCCAAGGCAAGGGTCCATTGTGAATGACCTTGTTGTCCTAAAATCAGATCTGACATCATTGTTTGTGGATGGAGCAATCGATGCCAACATAATTGATGCTTCGTTCTACACAATGGCAGAAAACGAATAAAAAATGAGGCAACAAAAAAATATGTATCTTCTTCCTTCATTCATATTTGTAAGTGCCAAACAGTTTTGTTTACAAAAAAGTTCATTTTGATAAAATAGTTCATTTTATTTTGATAAAATAGTGTGGTTTTGTAGTTCAGTTTGATAAATAGTTCAGTTTGTTTTGATAAAAAAGTGCGGTTTTCTATTTCAGTTTGATATATAGTTCAGTTTGCTAAATAGTTCAGTTTAATAAATAGTTCAGTTTACTAAATAGTTCAGTTTGCTTTGGTAAAAAAGTGTGGTTTTCTAGTTAACTTTGATAAATAGTTCAGTTTGATAAATAGTTCAGTTTGCTAAATGGTTCAGTTTGATAAATAGTTCAGTTTGCTTTGGTAAAAAAAGTGTGGTTTTCTAGGTCACTTTGATAAATAGTTCAGTTTATTTTGATAAAATAGTGTGGTTTTGTAGTTCAGTTTGCTAAATGGTTCAGTTTGATAAATAGTTCAGTTTGCTAATAGTTTAGTTTGATAAATAGTTCTGTTTGCTTTGGTAAAAAAGTGTGGTTTTCTACTTTAATGTTGATAAATAGTTCAGTTTGCTAAATGGTTCAGTTTGATAAATAGTTCAGTTTGCTAAAAGTTCAGTTTGCTTTGGTAAAAAAATGTGGGTTTCTAGTTCACTTTGCTAATAGTTCACTTTAATATGTAGTTCAGTTTGCTAAATGGTTTAGTTTGATAAATAGTTCAGTTTGATAAATAAATAGTTCAGTTTGCTAAATGGTTTAGTTTGATAAATAGTTCAGTTTGATAAATAGGTCAGTTTACTTTGGTAAAAAAAGTGTGGTTTTCTAGTTCACTTTGCAAATAGTTCACTTTAATATGTAGTTCAGTTTGCTTTGGTAACAAAGCGTGGTTTTCTAGTTCACTTTCATATGTAGTTCAGTTTGCTTTGGTAACAAACTGTGATTTTCTAGTTCACTTTGCTAAATAGTTCACTTTGATATTAGTTCAGTTTGCGAAAAGGCCTTGCATTCACTTTAAAACTTTAAATGTGTATTCTTGGTTTAGAATGATATGTGGAGAGATTGAAAAAAAAAATGTGTATTTTTTTGTTCAGTTTAAGAATTAGTATTGCTCATTAATTAAGATTAATAAATACATGTGTATTCTTGGTTCAGAATGATATGGAGATTGAGAAAAGCAAGAGTGATCAGGAGCATATTGACAAAACATTGCAGACAGTCTTGCAAGATAATGTGGATAAAGTAGCAAAGGTCTTCATATTGATCAGGCATTACTTTCACTTCAGCTTGGTAGTTTGGGACATTAAAAATGGAAAAATGACAAACTACAATTCCAAACTACCAAGGGTACATGGGAATACAGACCTATACTTTGATCATGTTGTTCAAGTGGTAAGAACAAAACTATAATTCAATTACAAACTATATTCTTATGCTGATAGGAAAAATCAAACTTCATAATACAATTTCTTTTTTTGTTGTTTTTTTTTGTTTTTGTTTTTTTGATTTTTTGGCAGAGAGACAAAATTGAAGGATTTTACAAATATTTCAAAGGAGACAGCAATCTCACAATAGATATTGAAAGATGCTTAACTTGCGCCCAACAAAAGGAGGACTCGTAAATACAAACAAGTTGATCTCTATATTTTTCAATTAAATTTATACATTCAAACACATAAGAAAGGACCATGAAAATCATATATACACACACACTTTGATAAATAGTTCAGTTTGTTTTTTGGTAAAAATAGTTCAGTTTGATAAATAGTTCACTTTGCTTTGGTAAAAAAGTGTGGTTTTCTAGTTCACTTTGATAAATAGTTCAGTTTATTTTGGTAAAATAGTGTGGTTTTGTTGTTCAGTTTGCTAAATAGTTCAGTTTGCTAAATGGTTCAGTTTGATAAATAGTTCAGTTTGCTAAATAGTTCAGTTTGATAAATAGTTCTGTTTGCTTTGGTAAAAAAGTGTGGTTTTCTACTTTAATGTTGATAAATAGTTGAGTTTGCTAAATGGTTCAGTTTGATAAATAGTTCAGTTTGCTAAAAGTTCAGTTTGCTTTGGTAAAAAAGTGTGGTTTTCTAGTTCAGTTTGTTTTGATAAAAAAGTGCGGTTTTTGTACTTCAGTTTGATATATAGTTCAGTTTCATAAATAGTTCAGTTTGCTTTGGTAAAAAAGTGTGGTTTTCTAGTTCACTTTGATAAATAGTTCAGTTTGATAAATAGTTCAGTTTGCTAAATGGTTTAGTTTGATAAATAGTTCAGTTTGATAAATAGTTCAGTTTAATATGTCATCGAATGTTATAATATGATCTCATTATCTGTCATACTTATTTATTTATCCAAAAAAAAAAAATGCAGATTGGATTGTGGCATATTTGTCCTTCAATTTGCAACCCAAGTGCAAGAGGGCAAACCGGTAGAAGCCACATTTGAGAAGGAAAATGTATTTGCTAAAAGAGCTCAAATTGCAACTACACTTGTGAATCATAAGAATAGTTATGCAAATGGACTGAAGAAGATACTTGAAGACAGAAGACAACAAAATAAACATGGTCAATATGATGACATTCCAGATGAGGATTTTATTACATTAGCTTGAGTTTTACAAATTACATTTTATATCAATGTACATCTACATACAAAACCCCGAGCTCAGGTGGGCTTGTATGCTGGTGCCCATCCCATACTTGCGTACATTTTATAATTTTTTTTGCCCTATATGGCCTAATAACATTACTCATCTAAAGAAACCATATAAAAAATGAAAAAGAAGTTTAGTATGAAGCCAATTAACTTCGCATACCTGATGCTTTGAGTTATAACTTATAAGAATGAGAACTATATTAAAAAATTTCACATGCTTACATTTTGACACTTCCTTTTTTATATCAATGTACATCTACATACAAAACCCCGAGCTCAGGTGGGCTTGTATGCTGGTGTCCATCCCATACTTGCGTACGTTTTATAATTTTTTTGCCCTATGTGGCCTAATACCATTACTCATCTAAAGAAACCATATAAAAATGAAAAAAAGAAGTTTAGTATGAAGCCAATTAACTTCACATACCTGATTCTTTGAGATATAACTTATAAGAATGAGAACTATATTAAAAAATTTCACATGCTTACATTTTGACACTTCCTTTTTTTGTTAAAGTTCCATTTTATTATCCAAAAAATATATAGTTACCAAATTAGATAAATTTATGCAAAACAAAAAACTAGATAACTTAAACTGTTTCTGAAATATATGTACACACTATATCTAAAAAATGAAAAATAACAGCTTTTTTTTTTTTTTTTTTTTTTTCAGTTCCAAATCAGCACCCCATCCTTCACGCATAATTAACGCCCAGCAAAAATCATCATTTCACTCTTCCGCTAACTTCACTTTCTCTCCCTAACACCACTCCCATTTTCACGCACAGATAAGCCACGATGAAGAAACTGCATGCACTATAAAAAAAAACCAGAAACCCAGCCCCCAGCCCCCAGCTCAAATCATCAATCCTCATTTCCCGATTTCGTACATCATTCCAGTTCTTTTACGGACGAATTCACGCAAATTTCAACTTCGCTGAGCAACTTGGTCGCAGAAATACCCAGAAAATAAACAGAAGGTAACAATCTTACAATTTTTCTCAACATATTTCGCAAAATCATACGGTTCATTGTTTATATAACAAACATCTACTGGAATCCAGCATATAGAATAACATGCATCAACTTAAACAAAACCCAGATTATACTATTTGCTTAAATTTATTTTGTTATTTACTATCAGTACGAATCCATCACAGATCCACCCAAGAAAAGACTATTTACTAGCTAATCGTTCAATATATAAACATACATTATGCTATTACACGAACTATTGTGATTCTCTGTTTGTAATTTTTATATTTGAGTAAAATAGTTCACGATTTTTAAGTTTAATAAACACTGTTTACGAAATAGTTTACAATTTGCTTTCATTTGTAAATAGAATTGAAATGTACGGAAATAGTAAAATCTGGGATGCATTCACGAACAAGTAGTATAAACATATATTACGCTATTGCATGAACTAGTGTGATTGTCTGTTAATAATTTTTACATTCAGTAAATAGTTTGTGTTTTTTAAAGTTTAATAAACAGTGTTTACGAAACAGTTTACAATTGCTTCATTTATAAATAGAATTGCAATTTTTCCAGATCTTACACATAAAACACCTGCTATTGTACATTTTTATTTCTAATTTATTTAGTTATATGAATCTTATAAAGATTTATGCACTTATAAAAATGTTTTCCAATTCCATAAATAGTAATTCACCTTGGTATGTTTCAAATATAATCGTGTACTTGTACTGATTTTTTTTTGTTTACGATCAAGTTGGATTCTAATAAAAACTATATTGACAGATGGTTTCAGTTAGAATAACTGTACAAATGTCAAACTCAACCAAAGCCAATGTCAAAATGATATCCAAAACAACAAAGAGAACAGAACAAAGGAAAATGCTTGGAAAAAATAGAAAACAGATCACGTACGAAGAAGGAAACAATTCATCTACAGATTGACACCACTACTGAAGAAGAAGTTGGAGAACCAATGCAAATTGCAAAGAAAAAGGTGGAAAAAAAACAACCACTACAAAGGCAGAGGAATTGGAAGACACAACCTAAAGAACAGAACAATTGTGAATCAAGGATGCAGAGAAGAAAAGATGCCAAACACTCCAACCACCAACAGCAATCAAGAGAAAGAAAAAGGAAAATGCCAAACCAGTTTCAGAATCAAACAAGCAACAAATTGAAGAAACAGATATTGAAGCTCTAAAAAGCAACAATGCTCTCAACAAGAATGATCTACAAGTCAAAAAGCAAACATTCAGCCAAAAAGCAGCAAAGCCAAAGACAAAAAAACAGAAAGAAACTCTTGGGTGAAATTCCATCATTCAACCTGGATTTAAAAGATGAGCCTTCTTCACAACCGGATGACCTTCCAGCAACAAATCACATAGACAGCAGTGTGAATTGGACACAACTTCAAGTGTACAAGATGCTGAAACCAGATGATAGAAGAAGAATAACTCAATTCTAGTCAATAGACATCAGGTAAGTAATACAAAACAAAACTCTTAACTGAAGTTTTTACACACTCCCATAACTTTATAAGCACTGACGAAATTATTGTATAACTAATACTTTTGCACTGTCCTGCAGTGATGAATACTGGATGGCTGAAACTACAGATTTCAACTATTACAGAATAATGGTGTTGAAAGATGACATGCACAGTTTGATTGCAAATGGACCTACATCAACTCAGATTGTTGATTCTTTCTGCTACATGAAAAGAGAAAAAGAGAACATCACGAAACAAAAGAACTTCTATGTCTCCACAACAATCTTTTGTGAGCAAACAAAAACAACTAATATTCTGAAAAAAATAATTTACATATACATATAAAAATTAGAACAATTAATCTGTAATTATGATGTTTGATGATTTTCATTTTCAACAGCACAACATCAATGAACAAAGCATTGAAACAACTCTGCAAAACAAGGAAAGGCTCTACAACCAATTGATGGACCAATATGGAATAGTATCAAAGATTTTCTTCCCATTATTTCATTACAACCATTTCTCCTTGGTAGTTTTGGACACAAAAAATGCAGAAATGATTCACTACAATTCTCTTCGACAAAGCACAACAGATGAAGATCTGGACTTTGATTGCTACTGGGAAAATTCAGAAATTGTGGTAAGCAAAAAACGCACAACCAAAAACTCTGTCATA